CCCAGGTGCACCACAGTACTGGATTCAAAGCCTGATGAGTGTGCCATGCACGAACATAGGAACTCTCCTGTCACCAGCCCTGAATAACGCACAAGGGAAGCCACCACTAACTTGTGTTGAGCAGGTGCCATAATAGAGAAACAAGCTTCTGTGAAGTTACATGGAAGAGACTAAGGAGCTCTTTGATTCTCTGAGATAACATTGGTTCTCAAAGTGAGACACCGGAACCAACCCCCAGCATCTGGGACCGTGTCAGTAAGGTAATATTTCAGCTCCAGTTGCAGACCCTCCAAATCACGTTCCATGGTTATTAAAGGTTGAAAAGCACTGGTGTCAACAAAGTGTAGATGTTGTGGTTTTAAAAGAGATCAAGCAAGTACTAAAATGAATTTATATCATTCCAGAAAAATGGAAATAGGATCACAGAAAAGAGAGCTTACAGGACAGCTAACACATGTATAGATATGGAAAGGATTACACTGTGGTTTGGTTATTGATTTGATCTCCAAAGCTGCATGTTAATCGTTGATAGACTGAGGGTAGGAAAGCCAGTGATGGTGGCTGAACAGACTAGACTGGAATAGGTCATTGGCATGCAGTTACCGTGACTCCATGAATTCAGGGCAGATCACATAGACATCAACACACATATTCTTTGGCAGCTCCCTCCTACCCGCTGCAAACTCCCTGGATCACCCTAAGGTCAACCCTCCTCCCCACAAACCAAGCCATTATCATCCTGTAATGTCACTACATAACTGAACCAATGGAGCTGCCCAACTAGGACTTCCAAAATTAGAAGCCAAAAGAAACATCCTTCCTTCATAAGCTGCTTACCTTAGGCATGAATTGCAATCATGAAAAGCAAACACAGGTTGGAAAATAATCCCACTGGTTACTGTTGACTTGTATCTGTGGAGATCCTACCAAAAAGCGACAGGGAAATTCCACCTCTGCCATTGTGGAAGCACTTACCACCATCAGACTGAACACTTATATTTTATGCTACTTAGACCTTATCACAATTGTAAACCAAATGCACTAAGATATGCAATGATAAATTTGAGGCCACCTTTAGGGTAAACAAGTCAAGAAAATCCAGAGAGCTAGCTCTTCTCAACCTAGTGAGAAAACATGGAACTCAGAAAGTTGAACACCATAGACCAACTGAGATCTGGCTCCAGCTCCAATCCTAGCTTCCTGCCACTTCAGACCACGGAATGGAGCAGGTGATGGTTCAAGCACTGAGTTTCTATCACCACTGAGTTCTCACCCCACCCCCATTGTTGCAGGTGTTTGTGGAATAACCCAGTGGATGTGAGATACTGCTCTTTCTCTCTCTCTCTCTCTCTCTCTCTCTCTCTCTCTCTCTCTCTCTCTTTCTCGCTCTTTCTCCCTCTGTGTCTCTTCTTCTCTAATTAATGTTAGGCTAAGCAGAGCAGAGGTGACGCCACCATTCTTTAGCTATCACCCAGGAATGTCTGGAACGTTGAATCATCCTAATCGTGTTTCTGCACAGAAGCCCAGCCCTCGCTGTGGTGAGCAGCCCACACTGCACATCACAAGCATTCACAAACCAAGTAGCTGCTGCCTTCTCCCATGTCCATCACCTGAGATAATTTTATACCCAATACTGTATAGCCTGGGCAGTCATTTCCCTCACACGGTCAACCCACCATATGAAAATGGTCCCTGGCTGTCTTCAGCTACAGTGGTCTGTCAGACTCTCTCCCCTGACTGATAAAACCCTTTGCCTTAACTAAAATCCTCTCTCTCTTAGTCTCTCCCAATCACCTCTAAACCTAATAGTTCATAAGTGTGAGAAAATAAAAGCTCAGAGTTCTCACCAAAATCAACTCAAGGGTATGCTGCCATTATAACCAAACCCTCAGTATGACTGAGGAGACTGTCTAAGCAAAGTCCTGGCAGGATGCATAACAAGGGTCCAGTGAGCCCTTGACACTGGACAGAAAGGGTCAGAGCCAAGAACCTCATGGCAAGATCCCCCTTCACAGGTGACAGGCACCCTGCACCCACTAACAGGGCAGAGGCAAGAAAAGACTTGAGCAAAAACGACAAATGTGGGACCAAACTCAACAGCCTAGTGACTAAATTCACCCTGCATGCTCAGGATTCCATGTGGGTACTGGTTCATGTCCCAGATGCTCCACTTCCCATCCAGCTCCCCGCTTGTGGCCTGGGATGTCGGCAGAGAATGGTCCAAAACATTGAGACCCTGTGTCCACATGGGAGACTCAGAGGAAGCTCCTGGCTCTTGGCTTCTGGCTTGGATCAGTTTAGCTCTGGCCATTATGACCACTTGAAGCAGCAGACAGAAAGTCTTTCTCCCTGTCTCTCCTTCTCTCTGTATATCTGCCTTTCCAACAAAAATAAAATAAATCTTTTTTTTAAAGGACAATGTTACAAGCCTAAGGAACAGGTCTATCTGTATAATGTCCAGCATAGTGTCCCTAGGTGAGCATTTGAAAGGTGATGCTGTGTGTCTACCCCTCAGCTTATTCATCTCTGGGAGAGCTCTATTCCACCATTATTCACCAGCTTAGTGAATGGAATCTGTTGTCCTTTTGGGTCTGTAAATGCTGAAACTGCCTGGGATATGATTCACTGTCTTGCTCGGCCCAACCTTGGAGACATACCCTCACCTCCCATAGTGACAACTGTTGTCACAGGCATTGGAGAGTATAATGTAATAAGATGTGACATGCTACAATAAGCTTGATAACACATGCATGGGCTTAGATTTAATTATTTGTAGTGCTTGGATTTGCTATGACCCAAAATGAACCATAAGCTATTAGATGGCAAAGATTCCATTGCTTTTAGTTCCATCCTGAGCAAATGACAGGTGCCACCTCAAATATTTTACTAGGATACAGACCTGTTACAGTATATAAAGTCACATTTATAACTTTATTCATAGGAGTTACATCATCTTGAAGGAACAAGTGGCCATCTTGGAATAAATACTATTGAAGATACTTCAACACAATTCACCAATGAAGGCGCCTCCTCGTGTTTTAGTAGCTAAGGACAAATTAGCAGATGGACCACAAATATTGAACATATTCTATCATATATCAGAACAACAGCATTTCTTCAGAATGATCAAGAGAATGGGCTGGTCTTCCCATTTTATTAATCAGTTTCTTGAATGTATTTTGTTACATCAAATAAAATCCCTGCACAAGCAAAACATTAATACACAATACCACACCATATTTGAGAGTTCTGTGTTTTGTTTTGTTTTTTTCCTGCTTGGACAACTCTGTTGGGTGTCAGGGACCAGCTTGGGTACAGATATTTGCTAAGTCACACACACACACACACACACACACTCTCTCTCTCTCTCTTTTTCAAATGAAGAGCCATCTGAACACTTGGATTATTTCGGTGTTGTTTAAGAGAGAGTAAAAGATATGGGAGCACTTCTTTGAAGACTTTTATCCAAAAACAGTCAGACCTTGCAGAAGATTCAGCAGCAAGCACGAACACAGAGCATTGAAACCACTGCAGGAACATGGACATGGGAATGGCCAGGCAGGCAGGAGGCAGCAGTCACCAAGTCTCCCAACAATACTGGATTGCAGTCTCCCATAGTTCACTCACTCTCCACTCACCCATGCATAAAGAGTTCAGCACAGCAAGCACAAGACATTGGGAGGTTTAGCTGCCCCTGTTCATCGGTCATTCTCAGAAACCATGGACAATTGTGTCCTCTTCTGTTCAGCTAGCACCATGTTAATCCCGGACTTGCACTTGTCAGGGTGGGGTCTGGCTGGGACTCACCTATGTGACCACCCCAGGAGGTCCTTGACTTTGACAGGAAGGGCCTTGTTTCTGATGGGCCACCATTATGGGCCACAGTTGCATGTATAGTTTTCTCTTCACTGGGAGCAACCTGGATGTGAATGGCCAAATCAAAAGAGAATACAGTCATGTGTTCCTGTGAGAGCTGTAGGGACCCTTAAGCTTCACTTCAGGTGAGGACCCTGGGTGGGGGCCTGGGCATCTGTGTGCCCCAGCTGAGTGACTTCTTCAAATAAAAAGCAAATGTCTTATGGTGCTGTGTAAATTGGTAAGACGTTGCCCCCAGTTTTTGTCCTGCAGTCCTTACGAGCATCCTGGGAAGTCAGCTTGAAGTCACCTGGGTGAGACCCCATAGTCTGTGACCTGCGCTCAGATCTTCTCCCTCTGCTCTGGACTAGAGAAGATGGGTCTCCCGAGCTCCTGACTCTGGCTGACTGTGGGAGTCAGGTGGAGATGCTGTACAGCACTCAGCGACACAGCCTTGGATGCCAAGGCAGAGCCCCATGCGAAAAGATGGAGGACAGCTTGAGTGTGGGCATGCACGACACACGACTACAAGGTGTGCAGTGACCACTCCTGTTCCTGTCAAGCTCCCAAGCACTCACTTGTGAACCCTGGGGTGGGACAGAACAACACAATATGGGAGAGTCATAGAGGCTGTCACAACCCACAAGGCAAGGTTTGTCACATAAAGTTTTATGTCTGATTCAGTGCAATATCAATACTGCAGAGATATAAGGAGGGAAATCCCACCCTGGTGTAACTGTGATGACACGAGCCACAAGTTCCAGAAAGGAGACTGTAGAAACCTTCACAGCAGGTGAACAGGAACTCGCCAAGGGAACAGGTGTGGCTCTCGGGCACTCCACTGAAAGGCAAATACAACTGAAAAGTATGAACCAGCTTCCATGGGAGTGACGGGGGAGAAGCTACAACAATGTAGAAATACAGTTTCACTTTCATAGTAACAGCCCATTCTTAGTTACACACAAGATGTTGCCACTTCACAAGTGGAGAAAGAATGGGCTCCTAAGAAGTAGGCCGGAGCAGAAAAACATTGGGATGAACAAGGACCACAAGAAATTGTCACAGATCCTTCCCCAAGTGGAGAAGCAGTGAGTACGTGCTTGTCACGACAATCACGGCAGGGAGGTAGGAGCCCTTCTGGAGTACAGGTTTGAGCAGGCTCAGGGATCGAGGCAACGCACACTTCGGATTCCAAGGGTTGCTGCTCATCTGCTAGCTGTGACCGACTGACCTTGTCAGTAGGAAAAGAAGCCAGAGGAGAGCCACGGAGAAAGAATTTTGTGTCTAGTTAATATCTTCCAGGAAACCTACAGGTTACTCTGAAGCCATGGCAACAAATAATCTCTTTAAAGGTCTTGCGCATCTCCTGGCTGCGGAAGGCGTATATCAGCGGGTCAATCACAGAGTTACACATGATGAGAATGAGGTACATGTTGAAGTGAGACATGAAGCACGAGCAGTAGAGGTTCTGGGGGCACGAAATCATTAAGATGAGATGAAGGAAGAAAGGAGCCCAGCACACGATGAAAACACCCAGCAGCATGGTGAGGGTGATGGCGCCCTTCATGCTGGTCCTCTGGCGCACGGAACCGAAGCCGGGTGCAGCCGCTATCCGCTTGACATGGGTCCGCGCCAGGAGGAACATGTGGATGTACAGGGACACCATGAGGAACAGCATGGTGAAGAACATGGAGATGAGGCAAATGATGACGTACGTGGACTCGTAGTAGATGATGAATACGATGCCGCAGCCCGTGCAAAAGATCCAGATGCACGCAATGATCAGCCCCGAGCGCTTCGCCGTCATGATGTGGTGATAGCGCAGGGCGTAGAAGATGGTGACGTATCTGTCCACCGCGATGGCCAGCAAGCTGCACATGGAGGCCACCACGGAGATGCAGATCATGGAATCAAACACGTTGTCGATCTGTCGCACAAAGGCATCCTCGATCACCAGGTGCTTGTTGCTGATTAAGTAGATGGTGATGGTCTCCCAGGCGTTGGACATGCTCACCAGCATGTCGGCCACTGCCAGGCTGCACACAAAGAAGTACATGGGAGAGTGCAAATTCTTGTTCTTCGCAATCGCACCGATGACCAAGATGTTCTCCAGCAGGCTGATGAGCCCCAGGGTCAGGAACACCTCCACCGCGATGCCCATGCCTTCACATGGCGAAGACCTATTCTTGCCACTTAGTCCAGAATGGTTGCCCTCTGTGGCATTCAGGTTGAGGACCAAGAAAGGCAGGTGAGTTGAGGAATTCATTGCTGGAGAACAATGCTTCTCTGGTGGGCAGCAAAGTACTGTAAAAACAGGTTTGCCTGTGATCCAGAGAGCTTTACAATGTCCCAGAGAACCCCAACAGCATGCCAACAGCAAGAGCAACCCGAGAAAGGGGACCATGCACACAGCTCAGCAGAAAGTGGAACTAGGCTGGCTTAAGGTTCCGTTCTCACCTGCATGCAGGCTGAGAGCTACACACACACACACACACACACACACACACACACACACACACACACACACACACACACACACCCTGGTCCTCCTCAGCTCTCCTTCCTGGAAGAGTCGCCCTTTCTCACTCCTCTCTTACCAGCGTGGTGTTCATGTCCCTGTGCCCAGGACAGACTCATTTTTTTCTGCCAGGTGTCCCTGGTGCCCAGGGACACCCTCACAGGTGTCCCCACGGTCACACCTACAAAACCCCAACCCCACTCCAGGTGTTCACCATCCTAAAGCCACAGCATCCCACTTTTCTCGTTTTAGCTCAGGCGTCTCAGCAGGCAGGATATGAAGAGGGACAGACAGGTGCACGCTGCACGTTTGTCCTGACCCCTTTGCAGCCTGCAATACTCCGGTCTCCACAGCTCCAGACAGCGAAGACTTTAACAAGGCACTCGGCGGCTTTCCCGGAAAAACAAGGCGCTGAGCGAGACTGTCTTGGATGTGAAAGCTCGGATTACACGTGCGGGTTAATGTGGAGGAAAGCAGAATGCCGTGTTTCCCCCTCCGTAAACGTTTTTCCTGACTGCTACATCATGTGAACTTCCAAGAAGTTTAATGAGCAGACACTTTCAAAGTCCCACATGTGCAGAGCGTGAAGAAACCGGCCATTTAAGTGTACCAAGAGCCAGAGCAAGACTCCCAGCTCCTTTGTTGCACAATTTTCCCCTCGCGCGGTTTATATCTGAAAATCCCTTTGCCCTGCAAATTCAGAAGGCGGTTCCAGAGCAAGTTAGGATTGCTGCCATCAAGCCCATCAGTACGCATTTATGAGCAAGGGTCGTCCCTTCCGAATTTATGTCCAGGTCTACCATAAACATTAGAGCGGGGCGTTTTCAAAAATCACCGAGCAAGCCGACTGCCACCTCTTTGCTCCCGCTCACACGCAGCAAAAAACGGTTCTGCACTCCTCTCCCCGGCGATTTCCCGCACATGCAGTTGTTGCGGCTACTCACCGATGCTCTCCCTGCTCCGGTCCGCGCTGCACTTGTTGCCTTTCCGGGCCTGGGAGCGCTCAGCTTGGGCGCCGGGCGTCCCCGTGCGGTACCAACTACTGAGGACTCTGGGTCATCGCGGGACCCACTCATCCGAGCCGGCGCAGGGCGCGGTCAGCTGGCGCTCTCCAACCTTTACGCAGCCCGCGGCCCGCCCTCGAGCCCGCCCCAGTCCCGCCCCACCCGGCACCTGCACAGCCGCCGGGCGCAGCCCGAGAACCGGATTTGCGGTACCCAGTAGTGGCGCAAAGCCACCCGGCACAGACCCGCGCCCGACGCCCCTGCGCTGCGCGCCCTGCGCCCGGCTCCCCCGCGGCCACACGCTTGTCCCCAGCAATCTTTCCCCCAGTGGCTTGTTCTTTCTGCCATCGCTCTCTCTCGCTCTCGCTCTCTCTCCCCCCCTCTATCAGCCTTCCTCCCTCTTTGCCTCTCTTACACACACACACACACCGACAAATACTCAAGGATACCTCTGTCTCTCCGGTTCTCTGAAGCTGGCCCTCTGCGGGGCCGGCAGCCAGGACTGTGCACACCACACACTCTGCTGGCTGCCCAGCCGCTCGCTCATGCCAGCCTATATTGTCGCTCCAGCAGAAAAGGGGGGCGGGGGTCTGTGGTGAAATATCCAGGTGTTCAGTAACGGTTTCCGGACCTCGCATTTCTCTCACACCACAAACTCTGACCTTTAGCCCCCAGGGAGGATCGTTCCGTGGGTTGGAACAGGCAGATAGATGCACAAGCCCCGGAGCAAAACACGTAGGGCTGCATGCATGATCAGACGGGGATTCCAGCAAATAGATGAGAAAGGTGCCCCGAAGTTCAGTGACCCAGGGCCCCCGTGAGAGCCACAGAAGACCTTTCTCTATTGAGAGGTTGGCGGCATGTGCATATAGAGCAAACAGGAAGCCAGGAAGCAGGCTGAGGTCCAAGAATCCCCCTGTTTCTATCTCATGCTCAAGATCAAGTGACGCCTCTGCAACAGTGTCTATTGGAGATGCTCCTGCGGCCTCCTGCGGTGCTGCTCAGGAAGGTGTGCCTGTTTCAGCATCCTGCAGGTGCTGTACTGATGCTCTTACTCCTACCTACCCCTGGCACTATGGTTATGAAACACAGGGAGCCAACAGAGAGGTTCCCAGCACTGGACAGAGCTGAGCTGGCACTTGTAGTCTAGCTGTCCAGCTGCAAAGTCCACTGCCTCACCTGGCACAGCACCACCTCTGGACAGACCCAGTGGCCGCGAGCTTGATCCTTTTGAAACGCTGCTGATTCTGTTTGCTGCGGACTTGTCTTCCCACTGCCTTTCCGGCCCATGATGTACTTTAGGTTGTCCTATATGCTTTAGCAAAGCAAAGAAGTTGTTTTAGTTATTTTTTCTATTCTGAAACAGTTTAAATGGGGGTAGGAATTCTTTGCTTCTTATAGAAAATGATCAAACCACTGGAGCTAAGACACACGAAGCTCTTCAACTGCCTCTGTGCTTGGAAACTTTGTCTCCCAAAAAGCACCAGCATAGAATGCATAGCACAAACACAAAAACATGGCTACCAGGGAACTCCCAGACTCCTCAAAAACACTCTTCCACCTAAAGGTCAAAGGGGCCATGAAATAAGCTCAGTGCTTCCTTATGACTGAGTCTTGGACAAGACAGCAGAGACAACCTTCAGTCCAAATGCACAGAATGAATACATGCAGTCGAATGTTGATGGCTTCTAAGAGTCAGACGTACTTGGCTGCCACGTGACCCAGGTTGGGGTCCAGGAGACGTAGATGCTGGGAGGAGCTCAAAATGCAAGACGCTACAGTAAGCCAGTAATTCAGTTACAACTTCCTGAACCTCCAAGGAGGCCTACGTTGACTTACTGGGCCCTCTCCATAAGACTGAAAGGTTGGCCATTTTCCCATAGGGGTGGAATTTTGGACACCGCTTGGAAGGTGTCCAGTAACCGCTCTCTTAGTATCCGAGACTCACGTGCCTATGTACACAACAGGGTCCTAAAGATGTGTCGAGTTTCTACCCAGAAGGACTAAACATTCGTTGGGACCCTTCAACGCCCAGCATGATCCAGAGAGCCACGGGGAATTGTCCCAGTAGCGTGAGAAAGTCAGTCTTCCTCCCCCATCTGATGGAGAAGGAAATACAGGTTCTGGGCAGTCATAGGGTATCTTAGCTAGTGGCAGGAGTAGATGATCTGAATTGAGGCTTCTTCTTTTTTTTTTTTTTTAAAGATTATTTATTTATTGGAAAGTCAGATATACAGAGAGGAGGAGAGACAGAGAGGAAGATCTTCCATCCAATGATTCACTCTCCAAGTGACCGCAATGGCCTGATTCTATGCCGATCTGAAGCCAGGATCCAGGAACCTCTTCGGGGTATCCCACATGGGTGCAGGGTCCCAAGGCTTTGGGCCATCCTCGACTGCTTTCCCAGGCCACAAGCAGGGAGCTGGATGGGAGTAGAGCTGCCGGGATTAGAACCGGCGCCCATATGGGATCCCGGGCATTCAAGGCAAGGACTTTAGCCACTAGGCCACGCCGCTGGGCCCTGAATTGAGGCTTCTAAGCGGCCTCCGTGCTTACTAAACCCCTGCCATTGCCACACTGCCCGGAGGAGGAAACTAGCGGTGATAAGCGAGGAGCAGAGAAAGAATGAGAAATAAAGGTTAACAGATGAAAAGTCAGGAAGACCAAAAAGGACTACACGACCCAGAAGGGCTGAAGGGTGGGATGCGGTGGGCAGTTGCAAAGGCCGTGGGAAAGCAGCCAGCCACTGGTGCTTCATGGTCTATAGGAGAGATGCCAGACCCCATGCTGAGAGCCACAGGAAGCCTTGCAAGCTTTTCAACAGGAGCACAGCCTTTTAGATTTGTGGATGGAACCCAGCTAAGAGGGTGTAACCGTTCAGAACTGCAGTTTCAGACTAACTGAGGTCCAGGGATAGAACTGAGGATCATGGGTAAAAAGGGCTGCAGGTGCATGGCAGAGGTGTGCAGTGAGATAGAAAGCCCTGGGCCGGTTCATTGACCCACCCAAGCCCCGGGGACCCACCCCATCCATGCTCAGACTCAGCTCTCCACACAGCTGTGTTCCCCGATCCATCATATCAAGACGGGACATTTAAAAGTGCCAAGAACAAGTAGGCTACACATGCCACTTGGACTGTGAGCTTATTTTTTCTTCCCACATGATGCCACCAGAGAGACTTGAAGCTTGGGGCTCAACTTGCCGCGGAGTTGGAAGGGACAAAAGGTCTTTCCAAATTTCTTGCATTGTATTTAATGTTTGGCTTGTTTGCCAGAAAGACATGCCGTGTGTGTGTGTGTGTGTGTGTGTGTGTGTGTGTGTGTGTGTGTGTGTGTGTGATGAGCTGTGCCACATCCCAGCACACGAGTCAGCAGTCCCTAGATCCTCGTGAGGATTGTTCTTTAACTCCTGTGCCCCACTTGGACTTAAACATGACACTGTAGGCATCCCTTGTGCTTGGGTAAAGCTAAGAACACAGGAGACAAAACTGAATAGACAGTTCTTTCCTTGTAGAGGCTTGGCAGTCTCAGTGAGCCAAACCTGAGCGTGCTGTGTTCCTGCTGAAGGATATTTCTCACCCCAGAATTCAGATACCCTTTGGAAAGTCAGCCCTACATTCTAGAAAATTTTCTGACAGTATTTCAATCTTGCAATTTTTATTGGTTGCCTCAATAATTTTATTTAAGCGGTCTTGGCGTGGTAGCCTAATAGCTAAAGTCCTCTCCTTGAACACGCTGGGGTCCCATATGGATGCCAGTTCTAATCCTGATGGCCCTGCTTCCCATCCAGCTCTCTGCTTGTGGCCTGGGAATGCAGTTGAGGATGGCCCAAAGCCTTGGGACCCTGTACCCGCATGGGAGACTCAGAAGAGCCTCCTGGCTCCTGGCT